AATTTGATCTAACTTATTGCTACTGTTGACTGAAGCAGGACTTTCACATTAAGAAAGTGTAATTGTGTGTGTGTGAGTGAAAAAGAGGGGGGACTCTGCATATCTGTTGACAACCATAGATGTGGATTTTGTCATTTAAATGTGTGTGTGTGTGTGTTTGCGCGCACTCAGATAAAGAGAGAGAGAGAGAGAAAGAGAGAGAGAGAGAGGGATGGAGATAGAGAGGTGGGTTTTCATAATTACACTACCTCATACATCTCTTTCTCTTCTTTCCTTTTTTATCCTACTCCTACCCCTCTCTCTTTTCATAACCTCATTTGACGACTGTCAAATTACCCTTCCTTCAACCAGGTGCACCATTCTCTTTTCCTTCTCCCTCCCTCCTCTACTTTTTCCCTTCCTTTCTCTATCGTTTCCCTCTCTTCGCATCACTCTCTCCCTCCAGCTCTCTCCACCCCCTCATCCTTTCCCCACTCTCTCTCTCTACCCCTTCTCTCTCAATCTCTTTTCTCCCTTCCCTTTTCATTATCTTCTCTCATCCTCTCTCCTTCTCCCTCTCTTCTCCCCTCTCCCCCTCTCTCTCACATATGAAGTAGGTAAAACAGTATGTAAACATTATTAAAGTGACCAGTGTTCCATGACTATGTACATAGGGCAGCAGCCTCTGAGGTGCATGGTAGAGTAACCGGGTGGTAACCGGCTAGTGACAGTGACTAGAGTTCAGGGCAGGGTACTGGGCGGGGGCTATTAAACAGTCTGATGGCCTTGAGATAGAAGCTGTTTTTCATTCTCTCGGTCCTAGCTTTGATGCACCTGTACTGACCTCGCCTTCTGGATGATAGCGGGGTGAACAGGCCATGGCTTGGGTGGCTAAGGTCCTTGATGATCTTCTTGGCCTTCCTGTGACACCGGGCGCTGTAGATGTCCTGGAGGGCAGGCAGTGTGCCCCCGGTGATGCGTTGGGCTGACCGCACCACCCTCTGGAGAGCCCTGCGTTTGTGGACAGTGCAGTTGCAGTACCAGGCGGTGATACAGCCTGACAGGATGCGCTCAATGGTGCATCTGGAAAAGTGTGTGAGAGTCTTAGGGGCCAAGCCAAATTTCTTCAGCGCCTTCTTCACCACACTGTGTGTGGGTGGACCATTTCAGATTGTCAGTGATGTGTACGCCGAGGAACTTGAAGCTTTTCACCTTCTCCACTGCGGTCCCGTCGATGTGGCTTGGGGCATGCTCCCTCTGCTGACTCCTGAAGTCCACGATCAGTGGCAAGACTCGAGTGATTGACACTATGAATCCAGTGGAGGCTGCTGAGAGGAGGACGGCTCATAATAATGGCCGGAATGGAGTTAATGGAATGGTATCAAACACATCATTCCAGCCATTAGTAACACTAGCAGGCTTGTACCTGCGTGTGCATGTCGCACGTAGCTAGTCGAACGCCGAACTCTTCATTGAGACAATGCTGATGAATCATCAATCCAAGGGCAAGTCAGTGCCACATTTTCATTTGTGCCGAAATCAAAATGAAAGAAAAGTTATGTTGCAAATTCAGCAGGCTATGGTGTGAAATCGACTTTTAGAAGTGCTGTCTTCATTTTATTACTTTGGTGTCGTTATCAATGCATGAGCACCAGTCGTACAAATGTTTTACTGTGCGTGAAGTTTCAAATACATTTGTCATTACTAAATGTGTAATATGATAGGTATTTTAACATTAATCTTTTTTTAACACACAAAAACACATTTTATTAATAAAATATTTAACCAGTTGTCTTCCTCAAATGAAGTGGATGATGACTTAATCTTTGCGAGAGGGAGGGAATCTGATTTAATTGGTTCTCAACTCACAGCTCAGACACTTCATTCAGGATAAATGGAGTTAGACCTTATAGTGTAACTGCGGTTGCCCCGGAGCAGGTTAGATCTGAAGGATTAGTTGCCATAGACATTAACCTGGCTAAAAGGTGAGCCACATTCGTGGTACCGGTTATCCCAAGTTGAACTCAGACACAGGAGGTTGGTGGCACCTTAATTGGGGAGGACAGGCTCATGGTAATGACTGGAGCGGAATTATGGAATGGTATCAAATACATCAAACACATAGTTTCCGAGTGTTTGATGTCATTCCATTTACTCCGTTCCAGCCATTTTTGTGAGCCCTCTTCCCCTCAGCAGCCTTCACTCAGAGTTGACCAAAGTTACCTCGCTAACTCCTCCAACCCAGTATGTCGTATACCCCTCTGGTCTGTCTCACTGGCTGTGTTTACACAGGCAGCCCAATTCTGATCTTTTTTCCACTAACTGGTCTTTTGACCAATCACATCAGATCTTTTCACAGCAAATCTTTTTCAGAGCTGATCTGATTGGTCAAAAGACCAATTAGTGAAAAAAAGATCAGAATTGGGCTGTCTGTCTAAACGCAGCCACTGTCTGGAGGTTTTGGCTTCTATGATTGAATAGAGTGTGTGCGGCTGACAGAGCGCAATGGTCACAGCTGCTTTTCTCGTGTTAAAGGCGCTGCATGGTCAAATGTCTGCATTGGCTGTGCAGTATTTATGGTGATACAGCCTCTGTAGAAGTCAGGGCATTCATACTTCTTGCGCTTCTTGGAGCAGCGCAGAGCTGTTGTGAAGGAAGTGCGGTACGGACCTCAATTTGGCCTCTGCATGCCTCCATACGGAGCTTCCGACCACATTTCCGGATCAAGCATAAATTGGCTCTTAGTGGGCACTGAGCAAGTGGGCATGATCGTAGTCCATACCCAACCCTCCAGTAAGTCGTGATGAACTCACTTACAAAACTCAGTTTTGCACTAGACTGACTTCATGTCCAAAATTATCCTATTTATACTTTGTAGTCAATTTTGACACCAGAGAAGTTGGTTTTAAGGGACAGTTGACCATTAAAATGGTTAAGGTTAGGTTTAAAATCACATTTTAAGAAGATAAATTGTAGAAATAGGCAGGGTTTATGACTTTGTGGCTGTGGTAACTAGCCACAAAGTGACGGCCAAAAGGAAGAGAGCCTGTGACACGACCTGTGCCTCGCTGTTTACAGTCCCCGGTAAAACATATAGCAGCTAGCTATGGCACATTTGCTAGCTTGCTCTCTGATGTTTTTGCATCTGGAATATTAAAAGGCAACACCATAGAGGGCTTACACCATTTTAATGTAGTCAACTGGGTGGGACGTCCAACTTCATTGGCTGATCCCTCCCAGTGACCCTGTAGGAGTCATGTGCAACCAGGTCATTAGGAGGGATCAGCCAATCATGAAAAATTAAATTGACTCCTCAAAATGTGATAGCCTCAATGGCGCTTTCCGTCTCTATGGGCGACATTCCATTTTAACTCCTCCTCCACATTTACTGGATTGGTTGAACAGTGCAGAAGAGAACCTCCCCCAACAGTTTTTTTTCTCTTGTCATGACCAGAATGTGGGGCATGTAGTTTCGGTTAGGTTTTCGTGACACATACAGTGCCTTGCAAAGTATTCATCCCCCTTGGCATTTTTCCTATTTTGTTGCATTACAACCTGTAATTTAAATTTATTTTATTTGGATTTCATGTAATGGACATACACAAAATAGTCCAAATTGGTGAAATGAAATGAAAAAAATAACTTGTTACAAAAAATTATAGAAAATAAATAACGGAAAAGTGGTGCGTGCATATGTATTCACCCCCTTTGCTATGAAGCCCCTAAATAAGATCTGTTGCAACCAATTACCTTCAGAAGTCACATAATTAGTTAAATAAAGTCCACCTGTGTGCAATCTAAGTGTCACATGATCTGTCACATGATCTCAGTATATATACACACCTGTTCTGAAAGGCCCCAGAGTCTGCAACACCACTAAGCAAGGGGCACCACCAAGCAAGCGGCACCATGAAGACCAAGGAGCTCTCCAAACAGGTCAGGGACAAAGTTGTGGAGAAGTACAGATCAGGGTTGGGTTATAAACAAATATCAGAAACTTTGAACATCCCACAGAGTACCATTAAATCCATTTTTTAAAAATTGAAAGAATATGGCACCACAACAAACCTGCCAAGAGAGGGCCGCCCACCAAAACTCACGGACCAGGCAAGGAGGCCATTAATCAGAGAGGCAACAAAGAGACCAAAGATAACCCTGAAGGAGCTGCAAAGCTCCACAGCGGAGATTGGAGTATCTGTCCATAGGACCACTTTAAGCCGTACACTCCACAGAGCTGGGCTTTATGGAAGAGTGGCCAGAAAAAAGCCATTGCTTAAAGAAAAAAATAAGCAAACACATTTGGTGTTTGCTTTTTGGCCATCAAGGAAAACGCTATGTCTAGCGCGAACCCAACACCTCTCATCACCCCGAGAACACCATGTTTTTCATCGGCAGGGACTGGGAAACTGGTCAGAATTGAAGGAATGATGGATGGCGCTAAATACAGGGAATAGTTATGCACGCTCAAGTTTTCTGTTATTTTTTGGTGTTATTTCTTGTTTGTTTCACAATAAAAAATATTTTGCATCTTCAAAGCGGTACGCAGGTTGTGTAAATCAAATGATACAAACCTTCCAAAAAATACATTTTATTTCCAGGTTGTAAGGCAACAAAATAGGAAAAATGCCAAGGGGGGGTGAACACTTTCACAAGCCACTGGGCTTGTTCGACATTGCAACCAACAGTGCAGGCGACTGCCGACTGACTGACCTACAAATCACCTTGCATCATAAATAGCAAGTCATTATTATTTTTTAGATCAGTCAGTCAGTCACAATTTACCCATGATACATCTCAGTTTTGATGCTCTCGAACACGGCCATTGTTTTTATCCATGTATGGTAAGAGTAAAACAATTTAAACTTCTTAGAGCGTCTGCTAAATGACGTAAATGTAAATGTAAAATTGTTGAAATGGTGATCGCTGGTAGCCTAAACTCTTTATCAATTGAGTAGAACTATAGCTAGCTATCAGCAGATCTACATACATACCTATTCCACATAGTTTTATCTCCGGTGTCATCAGGAGACCAGCAGTTTCCGTAGCCGATAATTCTCCTCCTGGTACTCAGCTACTGTTTTCTCAACTGCCCCGCCGTTAAGCGCTCATTTAAAAACACACGCAACCTAGATTCTAGTCAACTGGTTTTAGAACACTCCTTGGTTCTAGTGGGTGGCAAGCCCAGAAACACACAACAGCTCCGCCAGCCTACACATGCCAGTAGTAAAGGGAAACAATATCTACATGTAGATAAACAGTGGTTATCTTAAGTATAGGATGATCTGGGAGAATCAATTCTCAGGAGTCGACTGTATATCATTACTCTATACAAGTTTAAAGCTAGAATCCTTAGGTCCTACATCAATTTTTGGACCTATAAATTAATTATATATACCCATTGATTCTTGAAGAATGAAAACTTGTTTTACTCCAATGTTTGTAAACAATGTAAATAAACACGGTATAATCTCAAAACATGGTTAAAACTATACATTTAGAAAATATGGATGGTCAGTCCTTGCATCCATAGCTCTTTCTATGAATTTGAGAGTGGTTACATTTCTCCAGGCCCATCCCTCAGCTTTTTACCAAAACAGAGGCGGGGTGTCCGCTTTGTTATTGTTTCAATAAAGGATTCTTGCTTTAAATTTATAACATGAATGAGAAGCATTAGATCAAAACTAATTAAAAATACTCTTGGACAAATGGAAGAAGATCTTTTCTGGAAAGTATATTTTTAATGTATAAATAACATCAGTCTGTACATTCTCTTATCAACATGAGAGACATTTCAAAACAAATGACCAGATATTCATGTTTCTAATTACGTGTAAACATCACCAAACTTTGAACCGCAGACCTGTGAGATTCCCATTATACTGTTTGACCATTACATCATCAATTGAATCGAATCAAACTTTATTTACATATACTGTTTTTAAACATAACTTGATTCAGAGTTGCTTTTCCTAAGAGTGTTGTCCACATGCTGCCTTTTTATTCCTATCATCTGACTGTAGATCCTCTTTGTCCAAATGTAATTTATTCTATTCGTTTTTTTCCTGATATATTTCTTTATGGATTTTATCCACATGCCTCAGCAGATTAGTCTTATGAGTGAAACTTTTACCACAGACTGAGCAGCCATGTTGTTTCTCTCCTGTGTGAGTAAGTATATGATCGGTTAGAGTCTGCTTGCGACTGAAACTTTTCCCACAGTCACCACAGCTAAATCTTTTCTCTCCTGTATGAGTCCTTATATGTTCAATTAGGTTCCATTTTTGAATGAAGCTTTTTCCACAGTCACCACAGTTAAATAATTTCTCTCCTGTGTGAGTCTGTATATGTTTGGTTAGGGTGCCCTTGTATCTGAAGGTTTTACCGCAAACATTACAGCTAAATGGTTTCTCTCCTGTGTGAGCCAGTATATGCAAGTTCAGGTGCACCTTCTGCTTGAAACTTTTCCCACAATCACCACAGTTAAATGGTTTCACTCCTGTGTGAGTCAGTATGTGCACGTTCAGGTGCCCCTTCTGATTGAAACTTTTCCCACAGTCACCACAGCTAAATGGTTTCTCTCCTGTGTGAGTGACTTTATGCTTGATTAGGTTATTCTTGAGACTGAAGCTTTTGCCACAGTCACCACAGCTAAAAGATTTCTCTCCTGTGTGAGTCAGTTTATGCCTGGTTAGGGTCTCCTTGCGATTGAAGCTTTTCCTACAGTCACCACAGCTAAATAGTTTCTCTCTGGTGTGAGTCTGTATATGTTCAGTTAGGGTCTTCTTGTGTCTGAAGCTTTTATCGCAAACATTACAAGTAAATGGTTTATCCTTTGTGTGAGTCAGTTTATGCATGGTTAGGTTATTCTTAAGACTGAAGCTTTTCCCACAGTCCCCACAGCTAAAAGGTTTCTCTCCTGTGTGAGTCAATTTATGCCTGATTAGGTTACCCTTGAGACTGAAGCTTTTCCCACAGTCACCACAGCTAAATGGTTTCTCACCTTTGTGAATCCTCATGTGCCTGGAAAGATCTCCTTTGTATTTGATGGTCTTGCCACAAACGGGGCAGGTGCAGGATTTCCCACCGTGACAGAGTTGGACATGGGCCTTCAGTTTACAGTTGGAGTTATAGCGATTTTTGCAGAAGCAGCATTCGCTGAGTCTCTTTTTGGCCAGAGTCACATGCCTCTGATGGTCAGCTTTCAGAGGAAAAGTTTCACCACAGTCACAGCAGCGGTGAGTCTTTCTAGACATGATGCTGGGTTTGGAACCGTGTTTACACATTGACTGGTTGAGATCTGATGTTGGGTTGGGATCCAGTGGTGGTCTGCTGTCAAGTCCTACTGGTTCGCTGCTCACTGCTGAGCTGTGGCTGTAGGCATTGTTTTGATTATCTGGAGGGACACAGGGAATGTCAAAACCCTTTAGGTGGGTCACAGTGCCAAAAGGTGTGAGATCCACTGGTTTAGGGTCATTTTCTCTGTGCGCCACAGTCTGGATTTGGGGAAGAGTCAAGGACCAGAGTGGGTCTTCCTGATCACATTCACTTTTCACACACAAAGGAGTGAGCCCTTGAAGCTGCTCTTTCTCTTGACTGGTCCTGAGTTCCTCCTGTTCCTCTTTAATCTGTGTGGGCTCTGGGTCCTCCTGCCCCAGACTGGGGCTCCACTCCTGCTCACAGTGCTGCTTCTCAGGGGGAACCTCCTCTTCAGAGACAGCGAGAGAGAGATGCAGGGAGTCTGGAGGGAAGGAGAGAGGAGCAGAGGTTGTCTATACAGCCTTTACACATAGGTTATTTATACAGCCTTGATACAGAGGTTACATACTCAGCCTTGATACAGAGGTTATCTACAGTATACAGCCTTGAAAAGCATCAGGGTTGGGGTCAATTCGACTGATTTAAGTCATTCAACTGACCCTTCACTAAGCCTCACGTGAACATGTTTGTTGTGTGGCTTGCCACTTTAATGCAGTCAAAGCTACTAACCACTTTTGGAGATAAAGATGCAGTCCGGGACCTTAAAGAGCTACTGAACACGCCGATTAGCACGTGTGTTTTTCTGTTGCTAATTAGAAAAACTAGATTTCAGTCTGGTTAATGATGTTTGTCCCCCATGAGACACTCACAGCTCATTTCACTTCCTCAAGTAAAAAAATGCACGACTTGTTGTCTTATGTAAACAAAGTTGGAACTGTTGGGCACGTCTGTCTCACTGAGTACGGTTACATGCACACAATAATGTGATTATTGTGGATAATCAGATTAATATAATAGTTCGATTTAAATGTTTACATGCTTTGAAAGAACGATTTCCCTAAAAATCATCTTTACATTGACACATCTGAAATCAGGCTACCTGATGACACTCTGATAAATGCAGAATATCGGCAATAAAATTGAACGTTCTAGATAAAGGGCTTCATTGCCAACATCCCCAAATATCCCTTTAAGATGTTTTTTTTAAAAACTTTTACTGTACATGGATAAAAACTTTGTGTCACAAAAACCAGGAAGTGATTTTAATTTATAATTGAAAATAGGTTTTGTTTTTTCAGTTATTATACTCAAATTTCTTTTGACTTCTTGCATTGACCCTAAGCCCCGCCCCATAATTTTGTGCCACCAATCGCAGCGCTCCAATGGATAGCAACTGTCATCGAGTCCGACACCTCGGACAAGCTCACGTTTGAAACACATGAAAGCCAGTGGGAAAAATTAATTGTTTAAATGGCAAAATATTTTAACAATGCACTAGGGAGGGGTACTTGCTACTGTGATTCCTGAAATACAGAGCCTGTTGATGGAGATAACTTCCAATATCCCCAACTATCCCTTTAATTGAGTAGGACTGTATCTAGTTACTGTATCAGTAGATCTACATACAAACCTATTCTACATAGTTTTATCTCAGGTGTGATCCGCAGCAGTCTCCGTAGCCAATCATTCTCCTTCTGGTACTCTGCTACTGTTTTCTCAAATGCTCCGGATATCTCCACAGCAGCAGACGCCATTAAACGTTCATTTAAAAATGTACGAAACAAATGTAGTTTACACATTTTCAGTTGACTGAGAGTTGGGTTTTCAGCTAGTTTGGCTTCTTGAAGTGGGTCCTCCAGATCACATTCACTTTTCACACAAGGAGGAGTGAATATGAACTCTATGATATCAGCCTCCAGCCCTTGAAGCTGTTCTTCCTCCTGACTGGTCCTGAGTTCCGCCTGTTCCTCTTTAATCTGTGTGGGCTCTGGGTCCTCTTGCCCCAGACGGGGGCTCCACCCCTGCTCACAGTGAAGCTGCTGATGGGGAACAGCGAGAGAGAGCTGCAGGGAGTCTGGAGGGAAGGAGAGGAGGTGCAGAGGTTACCTATACAGACTTTAGACATCAGGGTAGGGGTCAATTTGATTTTTAAGCCAGTAAATTCAAGACTAGGTCAACTATAATTCCAATTCAATAAGCGAAAACTAGAATCTATTTTCAATTACTTCTAAATAAATTGAAGAGAAGAAGCTATTGATTTATATTTTTGGACATCACTAGTTAACACAGACAAAAAGTCATAATTATGGCTAAACCCTGGCCATTTCTACAATTTATCTTCTTAAAATCTGACCTAACCCTAACCACACTGCTAACCTTATGCCTAACACTAACCTTATATTATGACCAAAAAGCTATTTTTAGTTGTTGCCAATTTTGACCTTGTGGCTGTGAAATCTGACTGTGTGGCTATGGTTATCTAGTGGAAACCAGTGTTTTTTATCCATGCACGGTAAGTTTAAAAACAACTTCTTAAAATGGATGAAATGGTGATCAGTTAACAGTTTATCAATAAAGTACAACTATAGCTAGCTATCAGTAGATCAACCAATGACTGTATATGAATGGAAAAAGCCATCGATCACATGACACCATTCATTCCTATGTGAAGACTCAAAAGAGCTCGCCAGCTTGTAGTTCTAAAAACGGGAAATTAGAACTTCTGGTTCGTTCAGCCATTCCTATGGGGAAAATGAAAACGCCGAAAATAAGGTCTGAGGTTAACCAAGGCTTAGGAGATCTTATACGTTTTGTTCTATGAGATATCAGTCAGTTAACATGACCTTCATGATTTATGAAGCCTTTAATGTGCTTTTTTTGATTACATACTGTAAATGCTTCAAAATTCACAAAAAGTTACGTTAGCTGATGAAGATTATCTCATAGAACAAAACGTATAAGATCTCCTAAGCCTGTGTTTAGCGCAGACCTTATTTTCGGCGTTTATACAAACTCCACTCATTTCCCCTTAGGCCTTGTCCAATGAACCATGGCGGAGTTAGTGCCTACAAAAAGACGGCATTACTATAGACATGTTGGCTGACAACGTCACGAAAATTATGCGCACCCATCGATGGCGGCGGAAGCTGTGCTGTTATAAATCTAAAGTCAGACAGCTAGCAACAATGACAAGAAACTATGTGGGGAATCGTAGGTGGCTTGTTTCAGCAAGTTTTATCTTGTTCTTGATACCATGTCTTGTTTTGAGGTGTTTTAACTGATTTCATGTCAATGCTAATATGGCAAAAAATGTGCTAGCTAGCCAACCAACAACTGTAACAATGTATTTGAGAGACAAGTGCTTATTGTGCAAATGTATTTATGTTTCAATAAACATTTGGAGACTAAATATAGTTTACATGTTGTCAACAATCTAAGCCAACCCTGTCTGTATTGCCCCATAGTTGCACGCGCGTTGGTTTTGTTGCTAAACAACCAACCCGTCTATTGCTCTCTATAGCGCATTGAAGCCAAATGAAGTCGGTTAAGATGGCATCATAACATGACATCATAACATGTTTGAGCTACTCCAGGAAGTGACGTTACAGGCTAGCTCAATGCTTTCCCCTCTCATTAGAACCCCGCACGGGCATTAATTTTAAGCCCAAGCCCTACCCATGCCCGCGACGTTCAGGTCCTACCCTACCCAGGCCCAATTGCTTCCACCAAATTTAAGGCCCGATGATCGAAATCAGAAATAACTTCCTCCGTTAGTAAATCCATTAGCTGCTCCTCTCTGTCTGTCACTCGCTCCCTACACGCAGCTCACTCTGCATGCGCTCAGCTCAAATCTGAGTCCAAGTATCCATAGCAACAGCTCCGCTTGGGCTGCTCTGTTATGGTGTCAAATCTGATTAAAAAGTTGAACACGCACAAGATGGCGCACGCGAGCAAGATGAAATATCATTGCGCAAGCAAACACAAAGTCGAGAGAGAATAAATGTGGTCGAGCGAGCAGAGGAAGGTCCCGTCCCACAAGTGCACAGGCCAGTCGAGAGCACAAATTAAACTTGAGAGCTTGCAAGTGTGACTTTGTGCAAGCAGAACATCGTCGTCACAGATCAAAAAGAAAACTTTCTTAAACAGTACATGTAGAACTGTAAGCAAAGAAACATGTTATTTGAACACATTAAATTGTCCACCAGCAATAGTCACTTGTCATTGTAAAGTTTTCGCTCTCAATTTCTCAAATTGCTCTCAAGTCTTGGCACATTGGGTTTGGATTTCAGGCTGATGGGGGGCGGGTTTAAAGGGGGGTGCGTGTCTAGAAACCTTAGATTGGTAACTTTTTTTTATTTGGACAAACTAACACATTTCTACCATTGTTGTAATTGGCTATTACGAGCCTTCTGTTTGCAATGAACTGCAGAGCCGTCTGTTTAGCTAGCTAGCTTTAGCAGTAAGCGCCGAACAACTTGGGAAACCCAGCAGCTTGATAACCAAATCAAATAAATTCTAATAGGTATACTATACCTTGAATTAAGTGGAATCTACTTGCTAAAGTTAGTTAGCTAATTACTTGTTGGCCAGCCATGTTTGTCTGTAAAATTAAAAGCAGACAGTCAGCTCTAGCAAACACCATAAAATGAATCCACTAATTGCAGGCAGGAGCCAATATTTAGGGTATTAAACCCAAGGACACACCCACACACAGCACATGGGGATTTTGAATGACTGTATATGAAGACACAAAAGGGAAGAATCTGCTACAGTTCATACAGTACATAACCAGTCCCAAATAATAGAATGTAAACTGCCGTATGATAAACCAGCTAAACATGTCAGAATCAACTTTATTCGCCAAATACATTTGCATGTACAGGAACTTGACTCTGTGAAATGGTGCTGCCACAAAAATATATAGATGCAGAATTTTCACAGATCCACATATAGTATGTACACTATGAACACTATAAACTACATTATAAAATATGCATGTAAGAGATGTGCGGAGAGTGCAAAGAGCAATGTGCAGTGCTGGGATGATATTGCAGGGTGCATAGTCTGGATGAAGAGTGCGAAGTCCATGGATGAGAGGATCATCGTGGACCAGGTGGTTGATGAGGACAACGGGGGAAGAAACTGGTCAGGTGGTGGGAGGTTTTGGTCGTGATTGACCTGAACCGTTTGGGGGTGGGGGTGCTGTACATTTCCTTTGGGGGGGGGCTGGACAATATTTCTGGTCAAAACCCACTGGTCTAAACTTGACATCCTCTGTCTCGTTGGTGTAGTGTTCCAGGGCGATGAAGTAGAAGCCTGACTCCACCTGTCTCCTGAGAACAACTGGAGTGAGAGAGAAAGGAAAATAAGATGTCAGGAAATGTCACAGACAGAATCCAACTGGAGTTTACATTTTTTAACATCTTAATGTTGCATTCAAGGTAACAGTCCATTTTAAGACTGCTGTGGCTGTATCAAGAGAGGCAACTATGGATAACAATTAATCAAATAAGTATAACACACGATGTGGGACTGAGCCAAGCTGTAGGGCAATTCCATGGTACAGAGTGATGATGACACTCAGATATTTAACTTTAAAATGTATGTCAAACTAAAACCAATGATTTCAAAGTGAAACAAACCATACAACTCTATGCATGAGGACTACTTTTAACAATTTGCAATCATTGGTTTGTTTGACATACATTTTAAAGTGAAATATCTGAGTCTCACCATCACTCCGTTACCGTGGAATTGCCAATCCACGCCACTTGTCAGTCAGCATGTCATTTCATGCCCAACCCACCTTGTGGAGAGCTATCCTCCTATAGGTTTTCACTTCATCCCTTACCTACACTACTCATATTGTTTAGCAATGACTATCACATACATTCAGTATAGAACCATCTTTCTAACCAATAGACAGCAGCTGGTCATGATCCTCTCTATGTGACCAATGTCCTATGCAAAATGCCTTCATACAGCATAAAATAAATTAAAGGAACTCTCAGTACCACTAATGATTAAGTTACGGGGGTGATAGGTGGATGTCATGGTTACCTGCAGGAAGTCCCCAGTGTGCTGTGCATAGAGGAGAGCCAAGGCAACCTACATGGAATAGAATGGACTCCTGTATCTCCTGTCTCTGTCAGCTGAGCAGATAACAACTGCACCACCTCATATTAGTGACAGTAGACCTGCATGGAAATAGGGACGGAGAGAAATAAATGGTTTGAGGAAATTCTCATTTATTGTAACTGCACAAGAACTGACAAGAGTAAAAGTTATAAAATCTTTACTTCAATCAGATTGTATCTCAAAGTATGCGGTTAGCGGTTTACAATATTTGCTATTATTTGGTTTAGAGCCTGACCTCTCTTGACTCCCCCTCCTCAATCACTGACCTCTTCCCCAGTGAGGGTCTTCCCTGTCTGTTCTCACCCCGCCTCTCCCCCCTCTTCAGCCACCCAGTCATGCTGGTCTTCCAAGTCCTCCTCCTCTACTAAACCCCTCCTCGACTTACATGCTGACCACACCGCTTGCGTGTGCGTGCACCATCACGCGCATGTTCATTTTGTCCACCCACGCGATCAGGACACGCAGGTTGAAATATCAATACGAACTCTGAGGTTGAAAAGCATTATACATTTATGGTAATTTAGCTAGCTAGCTTGCTGTTGCTAGCTAATTTGTCCTGGGTATAAACATTGGGTTGTTATTTTACCTGAAATGCACAAGGTTCTCTACTCCGACAATTAATCCACATATAAAAGGGTAAACCGAGTTAGTTTCTAGTAATCGCTCCTCCTTCAGGCTTCTTCTTCTTCTTCTTCTTTTGACTTTATATGGCGGTTGGCAACCAACTTTAAGGTGCATTACCACCACCAACTGGACTGGAGTGTGGACCTCAGTTCATCTTTCAATTGCCCACGTGGGGATATGCTCCTAAAAACCAATGAGGAGATGGGAGAGGCAGGACTTGCAGCGCATCACAAATAGAACCAATTTCTATTTTAGCGCCTGGCTACAATGATTGAATAACATGTAACTTTATGTGTATATTCAGCACATGCGATGCGGGCGGTGTGGTCACCATGTTAGGTACAATGCTCTTAGTTAAACCAGAGACGGTATAGAAAACGAAACCATCTTGGCTTTGGTTAAACCACGTTTAAACGTTAGCTATTACATTAGTTAGCTAGCTAACATTAGCTTCCTAGCTAGCTGACGAAAACCTAGGTTGCCTCATCAATAGCCTGTTTTAATAACAGATGACCAAATAACTACCTACTGTACTTCAATTTCAATATTGAAATCATAGTTGATTAGCTAGCTAGTTGGTTAGCTAGTCTCTCTACTGAAAAACGATAGAACTTACCTCTTTATTATTGTCAGCCATCATTCACCTTTCATCTCTATTGTCAAAAATCAGGTTAGAAGCAGTCAAGCCGTGATTGGTCCAAAAACGTGACCAATTGCGATTCAGTAGACTGCTACAGGATGTTCATTGGCTAGAATTTCCCCATTCTAAAACGATAGTAAGCTCTGCAGTTGCGAGAGCAAACTGGTAAATTGGTGTGAGAGGGGGAAAATACATCCGTGTGGGGATGCAGTCATTTCTGAGTCTTCACATGTACTAAGTATTTCTTAAGGCGAACAAAAATCTCTGCTCACTCAGTCACACTCGCAAGCTCTCATATTTAATTTGCGCGCACCACGCCAGCCTGCCCTCTCGACCACGTTTCTTCTCTCTCGACTCAAGGTGTTTCCTTGCACAATTATGTTTAACTTGCTCGCGCTCGTTCGACTTTTGAATCAGATTTGACACCATACTCTGCTCAATGAAGAGACAGCAATTAGCTGTTAGCTACTTTTCGTCACTCTAAACTCCGACAACCCAGTGAACATTATTATTTTCTGTGAAATAATCTCTCCTGTGTTATATTTGACGAGGTTGAAGCACTAATGACACCATTTTAATATTTTAGCCAGGTATGAAAAAAACAGGCTCTACCCGGTCCGAATCCATTAGCAACTAAATTATCCTTAACTTCTTCTGTCCGCGATTTTAAAATAATCGGTTCAAGCACATATCTGGTGTATTATAAATAAATATTGGTACCATGATTGTCTTCGAATTTTGTATTTATTTATAATGGGGGATTCTGTTTTCTGCTAACAATGCCTGCAGTACTGCGGTCGGCCTTGAGCTTCCGTCACTTCAATGAGAGGGGGTAGTCGTTCTCCCCTGAGATCTACATACAAACCTATTCTACATAGTTCTATCTCTGGTGTGATCCGTAGCACTCTCCGTAGCCGATCATTCTCATCCTGGTATTCCACTACCGTTTTCTCAACTGCCCCGAAAATCTCCACAGCAGCCGCCGTTAAACGATTATTTAAAAACACACTCAACAACTGTAGTTTTGACATTTTCAGTCGAATGAGAGTTGGTTATCCTATTCAGGTGTGTATTTACTCCACAAAAGGAATGCAAAATCAAAACAAACTCGTTTCCAATCCTACATCCGTGTTCTAGTCAAGGAATCCTTTGTTCTAGTTGGTGGCGAACCCAGAAACGCACAACAGCGCTGCCAGCTGGTTGGGAGTTTACTTGGCAATGAAGTTTACAAACCAGTAGTAAAGGAAAACGATAACTACAGTACATAGACAAAGTGTTTATAAGTATAGGATGATCTGAGATAATCAATTATTAATCAGGAGTTGACTGTAATATCATTACTCTATACATTATCAAATCAATATGAATGAGCAACATTAGGTCAGAATTGATGAGAAATACTCTGACAAATGCATGGAGAACTTTTCTGGAATATTATTTTTACTTGGTATTGATAACATTAGTCTGATCATTCCCTCATCACCGTGAGAGATATTCAGAATCAAACAACTAGATATCTGTTTCTAATGAGATTATATATACATATATATACTACCGGTCAAAAGCTTGGAATTTCTTTCCTTCTTAATGCGTTTGAGCCAATCAGTTGTGTTGTGACAAGGTGGGGGGGTATACAGAAGATAGCCCTATTTGGTAAAATACCAAGTCCATATTATGGCAAGAAAAGCTCAAATAAGCAAAGAGAAACGACAGCCCATCATTAATCATCAATTCGGAACTTTGAAAGTTTCTTCAAGTGCAGTCGCAAAAACCATCAAGCGCTATGATGAAACTGGCTCTCATGAGGACCGCCACAGGAATGGAAGACCCAGAGTTACCTCTGCTGCAGAGGATAAGTTCATTAGAATTACCAGCCTCAGAAATTGCAGCCCAAATAAATGCTTCACAGAGATCAAGTCACAGACACATCTCATCATCAACTGTTCAGAGGGGACTGCATGAATCAGGCCTTCATGGTCGAATTGCTGCAAAGAAACCACTACTAACGGACACCAATGAGAAGAAGAGACTTGCTTGGGCCAAGAAACACGAGCAATGGACATTTACTTCTCTTGTTTCCCTTCTTCTTCGCCACTGTAACCCACTCATTCTCACTCTGTGCTATTTTCTTCATCCGACTCACTAGCAGTTTCAAACAAAACCTTAGGTTTCCACCATCTTCTCCTATACTATCCCTCATTCCGGCAACATCCCCCAGAGCTTTTCCGACTGGCTTGAAAAGGTAAAGGACTAGCTCATCCTTCTTCTTCTTCTTCTTCTTCTTCTTCTTCTTCTTCTTCTTCTTCTTCTTCTTCTTCTTCTTCTTCAAAGTTTTATGGCAGACTACACCTATTGGTGTATTGCCGCCACCTACTGCCACCAAAATTGCAGCAACTTCGCCTCAACTGGTACATGTCCAAATAGTTTACATTTATCACACTGCAAGGGTTTGGGCAATAAGGCTCTTACAGGATATCTCATATAACCCAAATATTCGTACGAAGGGAGAGACTATTCTACAAAGAACAAAATAATGGATGGAGTGGGCTTCCTCACTCCATCAAACATACATGTCAGTCAGCGTGCACCAACCACTGCATCTATTTCTTCCATTACATCCTTGCAATCACTTCTAGCGCCACTCCAGAGATATAACCCCCTTGATAGGCACCCTGCTTCGCAGATCCACACACGACACATTCCAATCCGATATCTTTTTCAGGTGCAAAGCACGCTCCTTCTGCTCCTCTGACATTATTTTTACTGATGCCACCTCATCAAATGCATGTATGATTTTCATCGAGACTTCAAATGGATCTCCCAGATATCTCGATCGATCCAAAAACCCCACTCCGACTAAAAAAATAGTCAGAACTAGGCTTAGATTAACTAGACTCCACGACCACTTTACTTCTCTCGTTTCCTTTTTTATTCGCCACTGGAATCTATCCCTTCTCACTCTCGTCTCCTTTCGACAAGCCATCAGTTTCAAACAAAACAACTTCTCCCAGTCCAGACCAGGACTATATCCTGAACTAAAATACAAAGGAACTCGGGTATTTAACTAGGTAATGGGTTGCAGGTGTACTCAGAGCATAGAGATGTATAGAGGTCTCCAGCCCCAAAAATACAGTGGGGGAAAAAAGCATTTAGTCAGCCACCAATTGTGCATGTTCTCCCACTTAAAAAGATGAGAGAGGCCTGTAATTTTCATCATAGGTACACGTCAACTATGACAGACAAAATGAGAAGAAAAAAATCCAGAAAATCACATTGTATGATTTTTAAGGAATTTATTTGCAAATTATGGTGGAAAATAAGTAATGTTTCGAAAATATTTGGTGAAGTGGTAAAATAGGATGATAGCACAATGCTGGCTATGTTGTGTGATGATTGTGAGGCGCTATACAAATTCTACAGTCACAAGAGGGGGCTTCAAATAGGCCTATGGCATGTCAAGGGAACTGTAGCCTACTGTTTAGCCTTAATAATAACTTCTGCAGAATTAAGCATTTCTTGCAGTAAAATGATTCACCAAATGTAGGCAAAATTTGGACTTGGGAACAGGAGTGGAGAAATATTATTTATTTATTTCTATATCTTGAGAGAATGCAATAATCAGTTACATACCATGTGGAGAGGTGCTGTCTTCATCATAAACGCATCATAAAAGCTGATAGTATTTCAACCACATAAAATATCTTATCATTAATACGTTGGGTCGTTTCCACAGCTTTCTTTTTCCTCAAAACCGGTCAAACTGATGTCATATGGACATTTTGCACAGAACATCGTTCCCGTTTTTTGCGTTATTGTATTTTCTCACCAGTCCCTAAAATTCTTTGCTGCGAAAGACGACAGAGAAAACTTTACCAATGTCAACTAGACTGACGCATTCATTCTATCGATCTATTACATTATTCTGAAGAGCAAGGGTTTATTTAGTATTCTAGGGCAACATATAATGACAAAAGAGAAGCTTCATGTATCTAATTATTGACAAGTTGTCTAACAAATAGCCTACCAAAATGTCGGAAATTATAAGCAGAAACATATCTAAATCAGGCAACAACAACAAAAAATCCTGCAACCCCTGTCAAAAAAATCGTTCTGCCGTCTTTGACTGTAGCCTATATCACATTTTCTATATTTGAGGGTTAGGGTTGGGTGCGGGCCTCAGATTTTCAATTTATCATAGTTGGGCGGTTGCGATGGGTTATTAGCAATTGCGTGCGGGTGCGGGTGAACAAACAGCTGTTCCGCGCACCACTAGCTTGGGTAGCCTATAGCCTGTTGCACACAGGAACAGAGAGAGGCTAGTGGTGTGTAGCCGAAGTAAGAAGCTAAATATTAGCTAGATATTAGGCCATTCATTAGTTAAATATTAGGGCTATAGGCTAAATATTCACCTGTCAAAGTGCAAGAAAAATAAGTAAACAGATTGTGAAATTGTAGATCTGTAGTGTGTTCCTCGGGCATGCAAAGCTCCACTAGCACCTTTTTCTAGGTAATATCGATTCAGTGTGACAACGGAACGGTTGTGCTGGGTGTTGCCTAAACTTCTCTGAGTGGAGACGGAGGGACATAGCAACTATGACTGCCCTGAGCTCAGTCCAACAGGACTCTGTCTGGCCCTTACCTAGTTCACCGATTAATCTGGTAATGTGATACTATATTGGAGTGATCCAATGTAGTGCTACATAACCACGGTTACGTATGTAACCACGGTTATGTGAGCTATTGGATCACTCCAATCCTCTTTCTCGGTGATCTACGGCGCTCGAAAAGGGGTCAGCCGCAGTACTACCTGGTACACGGGTCTAATGTGAAATTCTTACTCAATGTATCCTGCCGCGCTGAAGGATAAAAAAAAGTGTAAACTCTAGCCATTTATTTCCCTTTATAGTTTATTCGCCTAAGCATGACCTTCTTCCACATACCATTTTTACTCTCCAAACGTTGCTTTTTTGTGTCAGCAATTAGACATTGTTCTTATGGGGGACTAGTTACCCCCTAGTACCCTAATTGTCTAATGAAAAATAAGACCCACACACTGATCTTGCCAGTATCAATCAGCTTTCAAGTTATTATCAAATGATTAACACACACAAGTTCTCAGATGTGTGAGTGCTTTTCCTATTTCTAATAGTATAATTTCAAATGGAGAAAACATCTCAGCAAAATATAAACAATGTGTGAGGATTTGCTCATCCGGTTTCAGTATAGAAATGACAAGCCACATGTACAAGTGCATTGGACATGCCCACAAGGCCAATACTAATCCCATCATATGTCTGCATTGGGCCTGCATGCCATAAATAATCTCACATCCACTGTAAGCAATTGAACCAAAAGTGTAGAGCACAGATAGTGGAGGCAAGATAAAAATACCCTGGAGATTGACCACAGTGAAGGGTCAATTTTACATGGGCTGCAAAGTAGCCATGTAATGTATGAGTTCCATCCCTGTATACCTGACCGGGCCAGGACGTAAACCCTAATCAAATTACACTTGTAGCTAGCATGCCTGTGATGTACTATACAGCGATTCATAGCTGAACTTGAGTGACGTAACGTGAGTGTAGCAGAATGAAGCAAATCGGGCAAAATTGCAGGAGATCCTCTCGCAGCCGAGATGCTTACAATATTAAAATATAGATACATTCATGACAGACAGGAGGACACACTACTTCAACTCTCAGGGGGTAACATCACATCACAGTGGCTACTAGAACTCACCTGCAGCTCACCTCTGCTAGTCACACCCCTTTCACCTCCTCCTACGCCACCGACAGTATAACTCAGCTGACTGTGTGATCTGAGTCAGTGTAGCAGAATTAAATACCCACAAAATGAATGCTGTGGGGGCTAGATTGACTCAGTTCACAATCTGCTGGCAGCTGAAGTTGATGAGGAGAAGGACCGTGAGGGTAACAGATGGGTGAGTGTGTAGCACATGAGCTAGTTGACAGGTGAGTGCTTGGCTTTTTCTCAATTCATCCTTCCTCGATTCCTCTCCTCGTCTCCTTCTAAAAACCCATTGGAGAAGAAGGTCAGAGGGGAGGGACCTTGTATCTTCTGCTCCAATACAGTTGCAATACAATACAGATGAGGAGACAGGATGCGAGTAATCAAGGAAAGACAAAGTGAGAAAGCCCTAGTAGCCATCTTGTGGTGATGTCACCTGCCCTGAGACCTAAAGTACTGTTATCCTAGCCCAACCAAGATCATGGTTTTGGTAGGATAATGGACGCTGCTTTGTGGGTATGAAGTGCTGTTGTGGACAGGGGTTGCATCCTAGGTCAGCCATACAGGGATTGTTACACCCACATCAATGATCAAGGACATCAGCTTCAGCTGCAAATCTGTGCAATATCAGACAAAATGAGAGTGAGTGACAACCAAATAAAACAGACAAACAGGGAATGTTCAACGACCAAAAAATATACTATACTTCATTCAAAGAATCAACACTTTATTACATATCACACAAATAATGTAAATGATTAGTGGATATAGACATTCATCTTACTCCAAAACAAGAGATGATTGAATAGTTAAATGAATAGTGTCTACTACAAATAATAAGCAGAATGTCAGGGCTGGGCTGAAACAGAAACCTGCACACCCATTAGCTAGATCTCTAGGAGCAAGGTTGTTGATGCATGTTCTAGATCTATGCATTGTTACTTTTAACAGTATTTTTGTAGTCCTACAACCAACTCTAACAGTAAACTAGTAGCATATTCACTGCTCAAAAAAATAAAGGGAACACTTAAACAACACAATGTAACTCCAAGTCAATCACACTTCTGTGAAATCAAACTGTCCACTTAGGAAGCAACACTGATTGACAATAAATTTCACATGCTGTTGTGCAAATGGAATAGACAACAGGTGGAAATTATAGGCAATTAGCAAAACACCTCCAATAAAGAAGTGGTTCTGCAGGTGGTGACAACAGACCACTTCTCAGTTCCTATGCTTCCTGGCTGATGTTTTGGTCACTTTTGAATGCTGGCGATGCTTTCACTCTAGTGGTAGCATGAGACAGAGTCTACAACCCACACAAGTGGCTCAGGTAGTGCAGCTCATCCAGGATGGCATATCAATGCGAGCTGTGGCAAGAATGTTTGCTGTGTCTGTCAGCGTAGTGTCCAGAGCATGGAGGCGCTACCAGGAGACAGGCCAGTACATCAGGAGACGTGGAGGAGGCCGTAGGAGGGCAACAACACAGCAGCAGGACCGCTACCTCCGCCTTTGTGCAAGGAGGAGCAGGAGGAGCACTGCCAGAGCCCTGCAAAATGACCTCCAGCAGGCCACAAATGTGCATGTGTCTGCTCAAACGGTCAGAAACAGACTCCATGAGGATGGTATGAGGGCCCAACGTCCACAGGTGGGGGTTGTGCTTACAGCCCAACACCGTGCAGGACGTTTGGCATTTGCCAGAGAACACCAAGATTGGCAAATTCGCCACTGGCGCCCTGTGCTCTTCACAGATGAAAGCAGGTTCACACTGAGCACGTGACAGACGTGACAGAGTTTCGAGACGCCGTGGAGAACGTTCTGCTGCCTGCAACATCCTCCAGCATGACCGGTTTGGCGGTGGGTCAGTCATGGTGTGGGGTGGCATTTCTTTGGGGGGCCGCACAGCCTTCCATGTGCTTGCTAGAGGTAGCCTGACTGCCATTAGGTACCGAGATGAGATCCTCAGACCCATTGTGAGACCATATGCTGGTGCGGTTGGCTCTGGGT